TATGTATGTGTGTTTGTAGCTTCTGGTGACGGGAGCTCATTTTTCAGGGTTCGTGATGTCTCCTGAATGCCTGGATGGGATTATTTTCCTGCCTGTCTTTCCAGCCCAACCGCTTTTCTGTCTGTAATCCCATCTCCTGGGGCAGGAGAAGCAGCTCTAGCTTCGGGCTGATAGTGTGCCCAGAACCCTATTGCTGGGATTATTTTTGTCTCCCAGCAACACAGCCATTCCCCTCTTCAAAGATACTTTTTCTCCACTGGGCCTCAGCAGGGGAAAGTTCCTCTGGTCTTGTTTTGAAGCTCTGAATCACTTTCCCCACCTTTCCCAGGTGCTTGTTCCCCATTGACTTGGAGTTTGCTTTCTGTATGCTAATCATGCAACTTTACACAAACTAGCAATACAGCAGGATACTCTAAAAAGAGCTCTTTTCTCTCTTCCTCTTCCTCGGACTTGAGCAGGGAAAAATTCCAGGTTGTGACCATCCAGGGTAAAATTGCTGGGAAACCTTTAGGACCTTTAGGTCACCATTTGGCAGAGGCCTACTCAAGGAGATGGGTCCTGCAGCGCACCCTAAGGTGGTAAGGCTGGGTCTCTGGTGGGAATGAGTTCTGCAGTCATGGGCCCTCCACCCAGAATGAAACGCAAGAAGAATGACTCGGCTGAGGGTAATGTCCTTTGGGGGGCTCTGCGTGCATTTTTAGGGGGTTGCAGGTACTTAGTACTCGTGTACTTAGACCACATAAAAGAATGGAGAAGGGCTGAGCTGTGAAAGAAACCCACCCTGGTGCACTTTAATGCAGGCCAGAGGATCTATCAGGGTGTAATGGAAGCCATGATCTCTAGTATGGAAAGAGTGCTGGAACATGAAAATAAATTGACTTTGTGGTTTTTGGAACATTTCCTTTCTTTCTGTGTCCCCCATCCCCTGTGCAGAGAGGTGGGACTGCTGGCCCTGCGCGGAGCTCAGGCTTGTGGAGCCGTTGGTTCCAGGGTGTAACTGCCGCAGCAGTGCCGGGCCCTTTGCCGGCGGGGAATCCGGGCTCGGGCAGGGGACTCGCACCTCTTCCATCTTGGTGTCTGTTTTGAGACTAAAACTGTCCAGGGTTGTGTTACATTAGGCTGCCATGTATGAGGCTGGTCCTGGTGATTTAATATTGCTTCTTTCCACACTGCCCAAACCCTCTTTATATTCCTCTTTTTTTTTTTTTTCCTGCTCAATTCTTTGAAGGCATGATGGAGCAAGGCGTCCACCTTAGTTCTTCTATGTGGCAATACAAAACCCTAAACTGATAGGGATTAGGTCTTGCCTTTAGGTCTCAATCCCCAGCCCCTGCTGGCTTTGAGAGGGGTAAGGCATGGACTTCTGGTTTTTTTTGATGTGGCATTTCTGACCTGATTGCCTAGGATGCCAAGCCTGACCCCTGCAAAGCTTCTGTCCTAGGGAAGGGGGCTAACCATTACCCCAGGTCTCTCATGTGATCACATTTGAGTCACTTGCTTCCTGTTTCTGCTCTGACTCTGCATTTCCTTTGCTTCCTTTCTCAGTGCTGCTGAACGATGGAACTCCGAGTGGGGAACAAGTACCGGCTGGGCCGGAAGATTGGGAGTGGTTCCTTTGGAGACATTTACCTGGGTGAGTGGCACTCTGTTTGTACTTCGAGCTGCGGGGATGTATCTTTTAAACTCCGTGGTGCTGCTTGTAATGGGTAATGATTTGTAGAAGGAATATAGGGTAGGGAGGGAGGGTGAGCCCCAAAGATTACATTGCTGGCTGAGTTCCCTAGCCCTTCTCGCTACTGAAAGCCTTCCCTAAGGGGCTGAGATTCGGTGAAGACCAGCTCGGTCCAGGCTGGCGAGTGGAAGGAACTGGCTTGCCAAACTGATAAGGAATTGGACTACTGTGGACATGTTTGTCAGACCCGTTGCAAATCCTGTTTCTCTTCCTGTCCCTCAAGCTCTTCAGTGCAGTGTGTTGCCTTCCTCAAAGGAAACACGGTCAGTGTGAGAGACTGTTAATAGTGGGGAAAGGTGGCTTGGCTTAGCTAGGTCAGGGGATCTGTTATACCACCCTTCCCCAGGATGGAGGGGCAGACCCAGTGAAATCTCCCATGGAGGCTTTCTGGTTCCATGCTGAGAAGGAAGATGTGTATAATTTTTGCCTTCTGACTGACTTGAGACTAACACGGCTAACTACCTCTCTATAACTTGGATTACCAGCTGGGGTGACCTGAGCTCAGAGTAGTTGCAGGGGCTATGGGGAGGAGCATAACCCTCTCATTGGGATTCCTGTTGGCTTGTCCCTTGGAGAAGAAGGGGGAGAATGCTTCTAGTACATACTAGTAGCATCTTGTTCATCTCTTTCCAAGGAGGGGGTGAAGCCCCTTAGAACATGTACTTTATCTGCTGCCATTTTTAGTGGCCCAGAATATGGGATTTTGTTCAAGTGATTATTCGGTGTCCTGTGAGCCACTTTGACAGGAAATAATTTCCTAATGGTGGTAGTGCACTTTATTTTTTATCCAGTTTTCACCAGTACTCCTAGCTACAGCCCCTCAGCCCACCCTGAATGGTTACCCTCCCTCATTAGTGTTTGCACCCCTTAGAATCTAAGGCTTAGATGCTTATCTCGTGTCCCCCCCATTGTCATTTAGCCAAGTGATGACATGTATTTGTCTCTTTCTTCATAAACCAGGCTTAGCCTCTCATTGTTTTTGCTATTGTTCTATGAATTTCCTCCATTTTGTCAATCTGCTGAGTTGTCCAGAAGCCAGTGCAGTTTTCTAGGTGTGGTTGTGCCAGCGTGGGGTAGCAAAGGGCTGTCCTCGTGAGTGATCTGTAATGTGATGCCCCTGCATAGATTGCTTTGGAGCTCTCTTGCCTCCACCACCCCCAGCTTGCATTGCAAACTCATCTGTAACTTCCTGGCAACTGTCGCTACAGGGTTGTGCTTGGCCCTGTTGCTCCCCAGTTTCTCCCATTTAATATCTTATCTTGGAAACCTAATCTAAATGGGATTCACTTTATTTCCCACCCATATTTCTAATCACCAAATCTCTATTTTTATTTCTCTGTCCTCATGGGTGTTTGTAGCTCCTCTTGATTTAATATCCTTCATGAATGTTGCTAATGGGCTATCTGCGTTCTTTGCCCAGATGATTGATAAAGATGATAAATAGAAACAGACTGAGGTTTTCTATTCCATAACACCCCCCCACCCAACACCGCCTACACTTGTTGCCATGTATTATTTGTCTTATGGTCCTTTAGCTGGCTGTCAACTTGGATGTCAATGCTTGTAGAAAAGTGAAGTAAAAAACAATGGGTAATAACTTTAGCACTAATGTAGCAATTTTTGCGTTCAAATTGCTTCATGTGATTTAAACATTGCAGCACCCAATGAGGTTGGTAAGTGGTGTTATCCTCCTGATCTGGATCTGGAATATGCATGTGGGGAGACCCTCAGTTCAGAAAGGTAACGGTCCTGGTTACCTCTTGACAACTTACCTGGTCCCCTTACACCTGTGCAAAGGGGATAAATTGTTCTGATGGGGCTGGTCTGTGCACGCTTGTCAAGTTTTATGTAACAAAGCAAATTGAGGCCTACAAGGCTCCAAGTCTTGGTAGGCAAAAAGGGCATGTTTTAAAATACTTGGCTCAAGTGAGAAATTTGAATGCAATGGAAAAACTCATTGAGCTGTAGGCCAGCGTCTTTGAACCTGTGTTAGCTGGTCTTGTTGGACTCTATATGGTCTTTTCAGTCTGGGGAGCTGGCATGGGGTGTGTGGAGGAAACTGACACTCCCATTACCCATCCTCTCTGTGAAGAGTGACTTGTTTGCTAGAACCTGTCAGAACCTGCCTCAATTGGCTATTAGTTCCCTCTCTGAGCATTTGGGCTACAGGGAGAAATGAGATGAAAGCACCATTTGAGCAGCTGGGCCTTCTTGAGGCAGTGTGTTCTCTAACCCATGTGAAATGCTCCTTGCGGATCATTCTTGGGAGTGGAAATGTCGAAATCTTGCTCTGAGCTTAGCCCATACACATGCACACCAAACCAATTTCAAATGGTGGTGACTTCACCCCTCTCTTTTGGGCCATCTGCAGTGCTTTTGGAAGGAACTCTAGAGACCCACCCTGCTTTGGCCGGAGAGGGCAAGGGGGGGACCAGACAATGTAGTTGGCCTTTACTGTTTTCCATGGTTCTGTTAGTGGCTCAGTAAACATCAGTTCAGGGTGTGGAAACTTGGACAAATAACAGATGGGGAGGAGCTTCTTCTTACTTTTTTTTTTTTGGCTGGATCAGTTGGCAGTGCAGTGCCTTGCCAGAGCTGAAGCAGGGATCTGAGGGTTAGAACAGCAAGAGTTATTGCAAGTCAGAAGCCAGATGCATTAGCACAGCTGTTTGCGGTGGTGGAGAGGCTGGATTGCTTCAGAGAGGAATCATAGAAAGGAGAGTGAGCTGGAGATTGTCTGGCAAGCAAAGCATGCTGGGACACTGGTGGTGTCTGTTTGGACAGTTCCTGGTTGCATGCTCCTCCCTCGCTGGGGAGGGGAGCTCCTTCCCTTTGTTTCCTCAGCTGTTAACTCTCTCTCGCCCTATCTGACTTCTCCCATCTGTTCAGCTGCTATCCTTTCTTCCGTCACTAAGCTGGCAAGGAGAAAGTGGTAGAGGGGGAGGGCATGGGGAGAAGGAAGAACATGGCTGTTGTCCTTCCGATTATTGTGCTAGACAGGCAGAACTGCCACCTCTTCAAAGGGATGGATCCCTTGTGGAGAATGTCTCCTGTTTGGCAGGTGACAACCCTCTGTCCCTGGAGCCCCATTTAAAGAGCTCATGACAAACGGATTCTGTCTTCACACGGCCCCCACAATGGAGAGCGGCTGGGGGTGGGTGTTAGAGGATTGTGGATAATGCCTAAGTCTCAGGTGGCCGAGACAGTCTTGCAGCATTTGCGTCTGAAACGGTCTTCTCATGCCTTGAACTCCAGGAGCAGCCTCTGAGGAAGGAGGTGGATTGTTAGGTGTCTTGTTTCCAGCTTCTACCAGTCTGGGTTGTGAAAGAGGATTGGGGTTAAAAGCCATGACGAAAAGGCCAGAACCTCCCGAATGCTTGACCTGTGTCCTGTTGCTGACTGCATGGCTCTGAACAAGCCACGCAACCTGTCCAGGTGTGTTTCTGTGGCTTGAGTTTAGTATGTACTCGCAGCCAAAGGGTGACAGTGAGGATTTGTTCATTGAACGAGCTTTTAAGAAACGTATGGGGTTTTCACCAAATGCTTTGTGTTTAGTCACTCTGGTAAATGCTGGATTAATCCCTGTGGTATAGCTCCCTAAAACTTTGTCTACTAGTCTATTTCTAAAACATCCCAAGAGCTGGGGTTGCTTCTACTTCCCAGGGGAAGCTGACACCCCTGTATTGGACTTTGCAGGAGATGAGACCCAAAGACTAGGATTGTTTGTCACATTTGGGATTTACATCCTACGGCTACAGGCTTATTTAAAAAAAAAAAAAAAAA